AAAAGCCAACAAGTGGCAGGATTGCCAGCAGTAATGCATTTTATTACATTAATCGTGCATAATTAAACTAATCAGGAAAAAAACTAAGGTGTTAGATATCGACGGCTCTGTCGCAATTAAAACAATTAAATACGGTTTAAATTGTAAACGGAAGTGCGTCTCTACCTGGGTAAGGTTTTTAAGTTCTTTCGAAGGTAACGGATCGCGATCCGCTACACCCGTACTGGTTCTTGTGGAAAGCGTAAGATCGGTGACCTTATATTAGCTTCTCAGCAAAAAGCTACGGCAGCCCAGCTGCACTATCTACCTGAGGCTCAACAGAAATCAGTTCTCCCCCAGTAGAGCGCCCTGCGCCTACTGGCACTTTGTCGTTTCCCCGCGACAAATCAGACTGGCTAGAAGCGGGACGTCGGTTTGACGAGCCTTGACGCGCCTTGCGCAGGGGACAATAAGTCCAAAGGGGGTATTAGACAAAACCATTTTATAAAGGGTTTTAGTATGTAATGACGGGTGTCTCCAATACAAAATACCGTCGGATGTTTACACGCTGTTCGACAGCTCGGAGCTCTCCCTTCTCTTTCTCAGCATAGCTGAGATCGGTTGGCTCAGGCTTGCTCGATGAGCTCTGAGGGTGTGCATTTCAACCAAGTCGTGCCGACTTCAAGTTGAATTCGGCATTCAATGCCACATCCATCGCTTCTTCAAAGAAGACGGATGCAAACAGAAAACTCTCATTCTGGCCGCGCCAATGCGGATGCCCTCCATAAAGACGGTCACTGCGACCGCATCGGGGAGAGGATTGACGGCCATCCCGGCAATAAGAGTTCTCAACTCTTGGACAAGATTCACAAAATCCTTATTGCCCTGTCGGGTGGCAAGGAAGCGCGATTGCACGTGATATGCCTGGTAAGGCGGCGAGAACGCTAGCAAAAGCTGACGCTTTAGCTTTTTTTGGAGGGAGCGCAGCTTCAACTGAAGCACCGCACTTTAGTGCCCATTTTCGCGCTCGGCCCCGAAGCTTAAAGATAGCTAGCGCCACGCGCTGTTGCTCGTTCTGGAGCATGGCGGATGCTATAGTCATCTCGACCTCTCTTACTCAGAGCAGGAGATTCTCTCCATCGTTACCCTCGATGATCGTAACGCTCGCAAAGAGCGGTCTGGGTCGGGAGTAGTCATCCATCGTCGACGGTGGCGTCATGGACGCTATCGACACTGACAGCTTCTGCTGTAGGTGCTCCAACAAAGCATTATCAAGATTTGAAAACGCATCTCTGCGCGCGTTGATCGCCTCGAGACCTTTCGAAACAATGTGTTCACTCGTATTTGTTCTAAGTACAGAACAAAAGGTCGGTGACCTAAATTTCGCTTTCTCTAAGCGCAACGCTACGACAGCCCCGCTGCATAGGTGCTCTAACAGAGCATTATTATAATTTGAAAGCGCCTCTCGGCACGCGTTGATCGCCTCGAGATCTGCGAATCATTGATTTCCACAACCTCAGGGCCAAGCAGAGAAATCAGCCCGTCTTGCATACCCTGAGGCAAATAGGAGTATTGCTCCATCCTCATAGAAAATCAGTCGCAACGACTTAGACGTAGATTGACTACAAAAATCAATCGTAACGACTTGACTACTTTTGCTACCAAGTGCAGCGGGGCTACAGTAGCTCTTTGCTCTGAGAAAGCTAAGCCAAGGTCACCGACCTTACGTTCCCTAACAAAAACCAGTGTAGCGGATCGCAATCCGCTACCTTTAAGAGAACTTAAAATCTTAACCATGGTAAAGACGCTCTTCCGTTTAGAATTTAAAATGTATTTAATTGTTTTGGTTGCGGCAGAGCCGCCATAATCTAAAACGTTAGGTTTTCCTATCTAATATAATAGTACCAAATCTGATATAGTAATACCTAATTACTATGCATTACTACTGGCAGTCCTGCCACGTAGTGGCTTCTTGTTACGGTGTAGCCACACCATTTTGTAGTTACACCAACTTACGTAATTTACACCTTTGTACGGTCACACCATCTTGCGTGACCTGTCCTTTCATACAAGGGTACGTGTTACCCCATTACAAGAATTGCCTTTAGAGCTATGAGAGATGACGCGTATATCTTACCCGAGCTCAACTTAGGTATTCTTTGGCTCTCTCGGAAGCCACCGGTACCAAAGATTAGTCCAGCTCTTCTTAAAAATGAGGATCTCAATTGCTGCTGCTCTAAGCGCAGGTGTTCGGCCTGAGCAGTTGTGACCTGCTGAGTCAGCGATCACTCGCGATGCTACTCTCTGATGCTCTTTTTGCCTTCGGTGCGAGCGGAAGAGCCGCACATGTAGGCGGCCAAATGATCAGCGAGCAGCTTCATATGGATTTAGATGTGATGAGATCAGCAAAGGCCGTTGCGACTCTTGCGCCTAAGCTGAGCTAGGTCAGGCTGAATAATGATGGGCTGGACATCATCGTGAACTCCACGGGCGTTTTTATTACTTTTTGCCGTCAAAAAAGCACCCTCATGCAGAGATAAGGCGTAGCGCAGTGGACGCCTCCATCTTCGGAGGTGTTGTGTCAGAATTCGGAGGGTCGCTGCGATATCCGCATCCGAGAACACCCAGCCCCTCCTCACCGAAAAAAACTTTAATGGCTACGATTGAGAGGATCGGTTATATCTCGAGGGATCACTGAGCCAATTCAGGTAGTATAAAAATTCTGACGCAAAGATGATCGAAATAAAAGACGATATAGAGCAAAGAGCAAAGTGAAAAATTCCACAAAGTGGCTGCTTTTTAAAGATTCAACTTATGCACTGTCATACACATCTCAGTGCGACCTGCATCTTGATTAATTATGGAACTGGGTACGCACTGTCCGATGAAGTTGTTTACCTATACCTCATGCGTTTACATATACAATATTGTATATTGTACAATTGCAATATTGTATATTGTACAATTACAATATTGTACAATTGCACGAATTTCACATGACAATTTTGAAAATATGTAATACTTCGAAGTACCATCGGTTACAAATTATGGGACTCTATTTGCGAACATTTATCCTCAATTCAGACATCAAAACAGATTTTTTTTAAAAAAACTTTATTACTGAAAATGGTAAGCAGAATATTTAGTATAAAATTAAAAAAAATATTTACTAAATCTCTGGTCTCTGTGTTTGAGTCGAATCTTTGGATTAGATTTGCAGCAACGACAATATTTCTATCCTGACAATAATCAAAATGCTTGCTACTCTGAACACGATATCAAGTGCGTTGACATAAGAACGAGCATTGATAAAGAAGTATGTTAGTGTTTGAATCGAGAGATTTGTAAGTTGTCCACCGCTTTCGGTGTTGCCCATCATGTTGACGTCGTACAGCCTTGATGGAAACGATTCCTACGTTTCGGTCCTTTCTGTTTCTTGCGAGCACGCTTCTGTTACACACATTGTTGACAGCAAACAGACAGCAACAGCCAACTTTGAGACCATCATAGATAAACTGGAACTTCGTTTGAGAAAATACTTGCCGGACAGACTAATGTGAGCACTCAACAAGACTAAAGTGACCTACAAAATCTGCAATGTCATACGTTTCGAAGATCACAAAATGATTTTAAAATTGAATTTTGAAAAATGATATTTGTGTTTATAAATTCCTCTACAAAATTTCAAAAATCTCATCAAACATACTTGGCACATAATTTGGTGAAGGAGACGATCTAGTTGTTTCTATTATTTCTTAACTAGATTTTTGACTTCTTTTCATCTTCTCTTGGACATGTCTTTGACTTCTTAGCGTTTGTTCGCAAAGTTAACAAATCGTCCAATTTTTCGCTTCAGTCTAAACGGTAAATTCAACGAGAGCTTTTCTACCCTAAGTGCCTCTTTCGGCGAACGTGTTGTCGAAAATAAGAGTAGCGCATAGCTGGAATTAGAGTGTGGACATTGTTGACGCCGAGATGGTTATAAGGTGGAAACTTAACAAGGAAGACTGAAATTCTAGATCATGATGACATTTTAGTAGCACAATGCTGGAAGTTTCTGAGCGCGTCTGAATTTGATGATAGTATCTTAACAATTGAAGTGTTTCTACAATAAAACAACAAGAAATTGTCGACAATTGGGTAACCCATTTTTTTTACAAAAAAGGCAGTAGACAATCTTCACAAACGCACAACACGTCGTATCAACGATAGTGTGGTACTTAAAGACAAGTAAAATACATCCTTTCGTTTCGACCTTTTTGGTGATGTGATCAATTAAACAAGCTACAGACGATAGAAGCAACAATGAAAGAGTGTACCCTTCCACATGAAAACGAGTTCTTCAGTAGCTCGGATGAGTTTTGCCAAAAAAAACTTATGATGCTTATCTCTACAGTCAATATGAAGCTCAAAAACATCCATTATAACTTAGCTTCGGTATTAGAATCGCTCAAATCTTTGGCAATTGTCTGTTCATGTAAATAGTGTCTGTTGATAATTTGTGATTATTGGTGAAAATCTCAACTTATTGTTAAATTGCAATTTTACATTAGGATCCACAGTACAGTACTGTGAGGTTTTTTCTATGAACTAATTAGGATCAGTATACAATTTTGCTCTCGTTCTTTTGCGTTCGCTACAAACACACTGATTTAGGTTAGATCGTCCATTCATCCTGTGCATAAAACTGGTATCTCAAGCACGCCTTGTCCCCTAAAAATGTACTCATAGACATACAATACAAAGTATTATATAAGAAATTTGTACGATCGAGAGTTTCAAGATCCCTGTTGGCACCACCAATAGCCTTTTACAAATAGACACCATCCATGCGCTACAAAAAGGGTCCGTAGCCGCCATAGCCACACCTTTAGAACTAGTTCCAAAGCAGAACGTGATCAAATTCTCCGGCTTGAAGATCTTGTTCACGTGTTTGTCGTAAATTACTAATATGGCGGCCGTGTACGACCCTTGAACTCGACGTTAATGCGAATACCAAGAGTAGTGTCCAAGAAATCCGGATGCTTGAAAGACGAGACAAAAAAGACGGACTGGCTTTAGCAACCACAATGTCTTTCAATTACGACAGGCAGGCTAAGATAGCTCATGTATCATTATTGTTCAGGAATCATCTGCGAGATATCCACATGTATCGCAGTATGATCCAAGTCATCCAAAAGAGAGTATTTGAACATGATCAGTTTTTAGAAATTCCCAAAAAGTACGATCGACTCGATTCTGTACTGTACGCAGCTGTGCTTGTACATGGTCACAACGACGTGCTTTGTCTTCGTACGACCATGTGGTCATCGAGTGTATTGAATTCTTAGACACGATCTCACACTCTTGATGTGAAAGTCTCTCTCTATCCCTTGTTCTTAAACATCTGGTGGATGAAGCCAGAGATTCAACAAAGGCAAACACAACATATCCCACCACTCCTGCATCCTTTGCACGCACGTGCTTGATCGTGTACGATGGGTTGACTGACGTACCAGATTGTTTGATTGTGGCCAGAATACTAAAAGAAGAATCTGAAAGCACGAAATTCCATTTAACCTTTTTCTTGATTATCTAAACAAAAAATTCGAAATCTATCGACTTCAATTTTTCAAAAAACAACGTACCGTATGAAAGGTACCAATCCTTATCCGATCACCAAGATCATGCGGTTTGTACTGTAAAATACTGGTACAAGTGTGGAAAGAGCACAAAATGAGTTGCATTTCTAAATCTCTTTCTTTCTTATACATTCTCTCTATATATATCTCAACTTTTCGATTTCTATTTAATTCTTACTCTCAAGTTATAACCATCAACTCACTTTTCTTGTCATTTTATCGCAATAGAGTGGGAACCAAAGGTACCATAGTGGAAAAGGGGAAAAAGGGTAGAAAAAGAACGTGGCGTCGTATAAAGGCGTTGCAAGTGGCTCGTTTGTCGGCCAGTGTACCAGACGACGACAGCCGCTCCGGGCGCCAGGTTGTCATTTGGCAAGTTGCTGGCAACTCGACACACACCCCTTTTGGTCGTTGCATTGCCACGTTTGGCAACAAAGACAACAATGAGTACGGAAACTCCAAGCCCAAGTAGCGGAAATAGTAGCGACAGTGATACGCCGTCATCTTCACGTCTAAGTGGAAAACCAATGAAGTGTCGATTTAATGATTGTGATAATCTTGCTGTGGATGGAACAAGTAAATGTGCCTTTCATAAAAATCGACGACAATGTTGCGTGGAAAATTGTACAAATCAAGTGTATGCACGCAAACTTTGTGTACGTCATGGTGGCAAAAAACAATGTCAAGCTGATAATTGTGAAGCTCATGCACGTGGTGGTGGATTTTGTTTACAACATGGTGGATTTGTAGTTAAACGCTTTTGTATTGTTGAAGGATGTTCGAAACAAGCTCATGCACGACAGAAATGTGTACGACATGGTGGTGGACGACGATGTAAAGTGGATAGTTGCATGCAACATGCACGTGCGGGTGGATTATGTAATCGTCATTCTCATGGTCATGAATGTCGTGTGGATGGATGCAACAAAACGGCGCAACATTCGGGTTCCATTTGTTTTCGTCATGCTATGGAATTACGTGCACATGGAGAAGAAGTTCCAGAACTTAATATTTCAAAAGGTGGACGATTAAGTAGTAAAAAACGACAACAACAACAACGTGAACAACAAATGAAACAAGAACAATTTCATCATCAACATATTCAACAACAGATTCATGCACCACCTCATCCATTAACGATTCAAGTACCATCAAGTCAATCGATGCCATCGACGAATCCATTTGGATTACCTTTGAAAATTAATGTTCCATCGACCATGCCAAAATTCAATTTGCGGACGCCACTTGGCAACAGTTTCCCCACGCCACGAAGTCATGAATTTTCCCTTTTAATGGGTCTCCCATCCCCCCAAATTGATCACTCGCAATTGCCAAGTGTACTTGCTATGACCAATGCAGGGGTACACCCCCCAACAAGTGGTCAACGTACCCCTAGTCTTGATACCTTCCTTACAAGTGGCCCACCCAGTCTTTCCCGTGGGACGGGAAATTTCTTAACACTTGGGCTCTTTCCTACTCCACGACTCACAGATCGAACACCAGGTGGAACAGATGACTCGATGATGAACGATTACATGAAACTTATGGGTCCCGATACCCCAATGACGTTTCATGCAAATACCCATTTTGGGGGTGGTGCTACACCACTGTTGGAAAACTTGGGTAATGTCTTTGAACATGCCACAACGGGGAATTTGCCACGAAACCATATGACCACAATGCATTCCCATGGTCCACAAAGAATGAAAATGGACTTTTTATCGCCTCGTGGTTTTGCGGCCCATAATTTTCAAACACAAGGATTTCCCACATCAACGTCAGTTGGAGACATGAATACTGGATCGTCTGATTATGCTGCCCAATTCTTTGTGGACCATAAGAATGACAAAAATCGCAGTCACATGAAAACTTCCAGTGTCTCTGCTGCCACAACTCCAACGCCAAAACCCACGGGTGTCACTGCTGCGTAAAGTGACAAAAAGTGTGTGGATCATCACCCCCATAAAGTGACGATAGCCATGTAATTAACTCAAGTTGATTACTGGCTGAACAACGCAGGCGGCGATTTGTTTTGAAAGCCTGTGACGATTTTTTCAATAGAAGAACGAGTGCCTTCGATTTTAATGGACTCGATCTAAGTTTTGACCCTAGAAATTAAGTAGGGATGAAAAAGTAAAGTAAAAGTTTCAAGATTTTGTTCAGGTTAAGAATATTGATAGAAAATTAAAGTTTACAATTATGTTGTTAAAATGTGGAGATTACAAACTTTCGAATCGAATTATAGCGACAGGAATGTGTTGGTTTGTCGCTTTGTTGTAGAATGACAAAGTGCCTCGTTTTTTTTTTTACATATACAAATTGACGTTCTAAACTTCAAATAACGAAGCTACAGCATTGACGTAGTACTAAAGAATGATGAGATTGCTATTTCGCTTAGTTGATAGTTGTACACGATGAAAGTATCAAAAAACGATACAAGAATGAAGATTTCTAGTGTAAAGTAACTTGAATCTATTGTAGCTTGTGATTGATTGCAATGTTAATGCTGTCAACACTTTGAATATGCCTTTGGATTGACGTTCAAGTTTCATTACGCTTCTGCTTTCCAACTTCACTAGCTTTTAAACTCTTTTGGTTCCGCGATTCTGTGGTGCACGTCAACCTCTGACTTGATAAGACCGAAAGAAGCAAAGGAGTACTTGCCATCCTTCCAATAATTTCGCTATGAGCATTTCTTGTTTCATCTAAAAGCACACAAATCAACGTTAATAAAGATGATTTTGGGAGACTACAATTGATAGGTTGGGACATGGTTGCATTCTCATGCGAAAGTGATCGGACATGAAGAAATCTTTTTGACAGTAATGAGTCGTTGGTGCACTATTCTTCTTAATATCGTGCTGCTTCAAGTGGCTTACGGACAGCGCAATAGCTCGCTGTCTGGTTGTGAGATCTGCGCCACTACTGGTGATTGTTCTCAAGCTTTTCGAGCAAAGTCTGGTCAATTCTGTGGCCATTGGTTGGACCGCCGAAGCAAACGTCGTCCTTGTTGTTGCCCTGATGATGCTGTCTGTAGAGTATCAAATTATGCGTGTTTTTATTCGTTCTCATCGCATGATGACGGTCATTTCTGGCTATGGTGTCTACTTGGATCGATAGGACTGTTTCTTGGATCGATGGGACTGATACTATGCATTGATCTTATAGCGATTAAATGCGATTGTGTTAATGGTGAAGATGAATGTAGTGGTGGCAATTATCAAGGTGGTTTTGGTGTTGGTGGCAACTATGGAAGTAATTGTGGTGGTGGAAACGTAATCACCGGAGACTTTTAAAGCAAAAGGAAATTCAGCTGACGCTTTGAGTTTTACGTCAGTATGCTGAATGATTTGGTCCTTATCGCGGGAGGGAATTCAGCACTTGAGATGAAATATTGTTGGCTTTCTAAGAAGTGGTTGATCTTTTAGCAAAAGTTCATTAGATGTCGCTTATACGCGAAAACACAAGCATTAAACAATTAAGAAAAAGACTTCGTGCTTTCGTAATTCACTTTATGCTCAAATGCGTTTGAAACGACGTAAGGGATAAAGATTAATGATTGTGCTACCTCGTAGGGCGAGGACTTAATTGTCATGATTTCCCGGATTCCAGACGTAAACGGAAGGGCTATAGGTAAAAACCATTAAGCCTTTTCCATGACAATGATTGATCTTTGTGCTTTAATTTAAACTCGGCGCGATATAGACGCGATGACGACTCAAAGTTTTTAAATCTCAGGAGAGAGCGCTCGGTTTCCATTTCTATACACGGATATGAGCATTTTGAGTGATTAAACAGAAAGAGGGAAGACTCCGCAGACCATGATACGGGTACTTCGATGAAACAAACAGTCCGGCTTGGTCCTTGAATCTCGTCGTAAGTTTTGATTTCCTGTCCAAGAAGAAATTCTCACTCTTCTCAGGATCTTTTAGATGAAAATAGACCAAGACTAGACAATCACGGTAAAGAAATTGGCAAAGAGTTACGTGGGCTTTACTTGCAGGTGCAGATACAATTTCAGCTAGATGAGTATGGCGCATGAAGGAAGTGAGCTTGATCTGCTAAATTATTCAAAAGGACTTGTTCCCGATAAATATTGACATTATGCCAAAAAAGCTTTTGCTAGCGAGTCGCCAGAGAGTCGAAATGTAAGACATTTGAACGTCAACAATCGATTTTTCGCCCTTGATGTTAGAATTGAGCTACTAGTCTAGATTCTGCTGCATAGCTAATAGACTGCAAATGTGAGTGTGAGTGTTCGATTGTGTGGTCAATAGAAGTAAAGTGTCTAAAATCAAGGGTATCAATTGTATTGATTGCTTAAACAAACGTTATGCAAGCCGTCTAGCACCAAAGACTGATCTTTCTCGGTAAAACAGCAAGAATAGAAATCCGGTTAAGGTCTACTATGCTCCTTACAGTCGGAGGTAGCGGGTTGGTAGTGGGTCCGAAAAGGTGTCCAACACATCAGTTGTAGTGACCACTTCATCGTCCTGGGTCTCGATTTGTTCCGGCGACGGTGTTGGCGTTTCGGTCGTTCCAGGAGTTTCCGTCTGAGTTTCTGTCTCTGTCGTCGGGTATGGGGTTGCTGGTGCCTCAGTCTCCTCTTGCTGGGTAGGCGGGTACGGAGTTACTGGTGCCTCAGTCTCCTCTTGCTGTGTAGGTGGGCACGGGGTTACTGGTGCCTCAGTCTCCTCTTGCTTTGTAGGCGGCAAAGTAACTGTTTCCGTCGCCGGTGGAGTATACTGCTTGGTTTCTTGTTCTGGGCATGGCGTCACCGGAATCTCTGTCGACTCTTCAGGCGCCTTTGTTTCAGGAGTATACTTGGTAGACTCTTGGTCTTCAGGAGCAGGCGTATCCGGTACTAATGTAAATACCGGGCACGGGGTCGACGGTGCTGGTGTTTCCGGTACTTTCGTCGACTCTTCAGGTGCTTTCGTTTCGGGCACGTACTGAGTAGTCTCTTGATACTGAGGAGCAGGAGTTGTCGGTGCTGGCGTTACCGGTACTTCCGTCGATTCTTCTGGTGCTTTCGTTTCGGGCACGTACTGAGTTGTCTCTTGATACTGAGGAGCAGGAGTTGTCGGTGTCAACGTCGGAACCTCCGTCGACTCCTCGGGTGCTTTCGTTTCAGGCACATACTGAGTAGTCTCTTGATACTGAGGAGCAGGAGTTGTCGGTGCTGGCGTTTCCGGTACCTCCGTTGATTCTTCTGGTGCCTTCGTTTCAGGCACATACTGAGTAGTTTCTTGGTAGTGAGGAGCAGGCGTATCTGGTACTAGAGTGAATACCGGACATGGTGGTAACGTTACAGTTTCCGATTGAATAGGAACATACGGGGTCGATTCCTCTTGATGAGGTGCATAAGTCTCAGTTTCCTGGACAGGATAAGGAGTTAAAGTTGCAGCCTCTGTCGGTTTTTCCGACGTCTCCGGACACGGAGTTTCCGTCACAGTCTCCGGTGTTTCAGGACACGGAGTATCTGTCACGGTTTCCGGTGTTTCAGGACACGGAGTAGCTGTCACAGATTCGGTCTGATCGGGTACATATTCTTTAGACTCCTGGGTAGGATAAGGAGTAGCAGGAGCTTCAGTCACCACCTCTGTCGGGGTTTCAGGACACGGGGTTTCCGACTGAATGGGTATAGTCTCTTGGGTCTCCTGAACAGGATAAGTAGGAATCGTTTCAGGGCATGGAGTTTCTGGTACAGTTTCGGTCTGATCCGAAACATACGTTCCAGTCTCCTGAACAGGATACTGAGGTGTGGATTCGGTCGTTGTAGGACACGGAGTCACCGACGCCTCTTCCGTCTGAGGTGGCAAGTAGACTTGCTTCTCTTCTTCAATCGGAGGAATCGTAGGATAGGGAGTGTTTGCCTTCTCTTCTTCAATTGGAGGAATCGTAGGATAGGGAGTGTCTGCCTTCACTTCTTCAATGGTTGGAATTATCGGAAGGATCGGATCAATGATCGGGATAGTTTGATGATAAACCGCAGTTTGTTCCGAGTCTGGAACGCTGTAGCTTTGCACGTGAGCAGCGCAAACAGCACTCAAGGCAATGAGGTACTTTACTGGAAGCATAGTAGAGTGAACTTGATGTCGTAAGAAATCGCGAGTTGGGCCTTTAAAGCAAAAGGAAAAGTGGGGGATACGAACAGCTTTGAAATTAAAAGCTTGGAGTCGTTCGAACACATCATCTCAAACTTAATCGAAAATGCTCGAGGATGGCATGCGAACGAAACGTACGCACGAACATGCCTCTTGAGCTGAGAGGTTGCTTTATAGAGAGCCATCCTTCCCATTCGAAGCTCTATATGTTAGGTGCACGATAGATCGCTGAATGGGCTCATGTAATTGAAGCAGTTACTCTTGAAAGAGGCTTTCTTTCTCGGTCGGTCATTTTGTCCTCCTGTATAGAGTCTTTGGATCTTTTATGCGTTTCGCACCGATGCGTTGGTCAAATTCAGTTATCAAAAGTGGCTCTCTAACTACTTATCAGTAGTTTCGTTTTCTGGAAAGAAAATAACGTCAGATCATCACAACTTTTTGATTTCAATCTCGTTCAAGAAGAGAAATTACTCTTCTCAATATTTGCCATTGACTTTTGATTGCTTGAGATTCGCAAGTTGAAAAGATAAAGCATCATATGAAAATGCTTGATAATTGATCGTTTGACGAGTTTTACGCTTGGATGCGGCGATTCTTTCCTCAAATTCGAGAGCGTGACATACAAAATCGAGCAATAGGTCGTTTGATCGATGAATTTATGCATATACTCGATCCACTTAGAGCCAGATTAAAAAAAACACCCAGTCTGAAATTTTCCAAGTAGCTTAATGCAGACGAAAGAGCAAGAAATTTACACTGGCAGACCTTATTCAATGCAAGTGCACAGAGACTTGTGTATCTATGAATTAAGGTTTACAATCATAGCATAAACCAGAGCGAGGGCATGAAATCTGACTTATCAAGATATTCATTGACAATATTGCGATTGTGGATGCGATCCTTTGTTTGTGAATTTTAACTAAATTTCTAGGAATATCACCTGGTTGTGTTTGAGTCATTCTGACGTTTGCAGGGAAGACTTTGAACAATGATGCAAAGAGTAACGAGCTTTCGCGCGCTTAGGGCAGTACATTATAGAGTATAAGTAGACTTCGTATAAGCGCTCTCTCAATCTTTAGTCGTTATTATATCCAGACTGCGTGTGACATAGTGACAGGATCGCAGTAGCAGCTTGCGATGCACCACAAATGCTGCTTTTGTCAGGTAAATTAGTTACATATGAAACCACACTAAACTATCAGCGACAAATCACACTACATCTGAAGCAAGAAAATGATCTCCAAGGCTAATAAGCATTTTTCAAACTCAAGTAGATTTCATTTCAAGATCTGAATATTTTTATCTGCTGAGTACAACCGACTTTTATAAAAATCGACTCGACCTAACGAGAGTATGGCAACAACATTGTGCTTTGATGTTGTTATACAAGCGTAATTTATTCCAACATGGAAAGTTAAACAGTAAATGCTCTTCAACTTTGCTTACGGACAAGGTGACAAAGCATGCCGCTGTTAAGAATTCATTGCTGGACTATCACATCATACCGAGCAGCCCACGAAGTGTGCCAAGGTATAATACGTTTGACCATTCTATCCTTAAAATTTTGATTGCGTTTCTTCTAAATTTGTGCTCACTTGTCTGCACAGAAGAACGACAAGCTTCTTTTCTTGAAGCTGATGAGGCAACAAGTATGAGAAATTCAGTAGTTATGCGATCTAACAAATACGCATGACCCCAACATTGTGTAATTAATGTGCGGGCGGGAAGTAACGTAGCATTCACAAGACTCATCCTACTAATAATTTTTACAGACCTAGTCTACCTGTGTAAATCTCCATTCAAGCGCCACTTTCAGCGAAGTCATCTATAAGCCCAAAATTATTTTTTAGCACTGCCATCGGTATCACAAACGTTGCCTTAGACATCACTACTCCTGGTTTCGCCGTCTGCTTCGGTTATTTTTATGAATGACATTAGAAATAAGTTAGCTCAACAAGCTCTGATTGAGAATCAATCTGATTCCTTTGAGCATTAATGTGTACTTTTGAGTTAGCGATATCTGAAATTGTGCCCGCGTATTTCTTTAACAACGAGGGTGCAGGTGCAGCACGCCCCCAGAAAGTCTGCGTTAAGTAAGGCACAGAGAATAAGCTCGAAAGCTCCATTCAGAAGTGGAATCGATTTGCTATTACAACATTTGCCCCCGCTGATCCATTTCAGGAAGAGACACACTCCTAGTCCACCTCAGCGTAGATCGTATGCCTCCTTACGCAGATATATTTATTCAGATGCCGGTGAAGCTAGAAGCTAACATACGCGGTTTATGATCTATAAATTTTATCCCTAATTCATTTCATTTTATGTGTGACATTTAAAAAGAGTTTAGTCTGCTACTGAATATGTACGTTTTACTAAGTAAAACCCTATGTAGAGCATAGCGAGGAGGCCAACAGTTCAACGGGTTACCGTGTACTTTGCACATGGAGAATTTTGGCTCTCAGAGGAACACCGATGATCGCACGAAGAATGGTTTGTGCATTTTTACCTTGAGTGAATCGAGATTCTCTGCTCTGCTCTTTCAAGAGTACATAAATTAAGGATAATACTCATTCAAAGTTCTAGTAATATAAGCTGTACTATTTCTCATAACTTCTAAGATACGGCTACCAGCCTATGTGTCCGCACCATTTCCATAGTCATCATAAACAACGTGGGATTGCGGATATGTTCTCCTATGAGAACAAACTTAGGAACTCTCCAAGTCCAGAATCAATACCTCCACCTTTATCCGGAAATACACGGTCGTTCCCCAAGAAAAGGCGATCACTGCGCTTAGCCTTCCCGCTAAATGAGTCTCAAAATCCATGTCCTTTTCTGCCGGCGCGAAGTGTTTTGACACTGTATTGTGCCTCGCACAGTATCCACTATTTGAAGTCCTCATCGGGATGCAGCAATTTAGGCTGAGTTTTATATTGATCAATACCGCATATCAGCAAGCCTTGGGATAAAGCATCGCATTTCAAAAGCACAACCGTACGCAAGATTTGAGCTTCAATCTCTTTATGCTTCACAGAACTCTGAGCAGCGTATCATAGGTTGCGTCAGATCCCTATGCTGTACATACTGCCTGGTCAATTGACGACGTCACGATTGTAATTTGCGGCAATCATTGTCGAGGCAACGCCAACCACATCATCCACCCCCACAATAAGCCGACTTGGCGAATATCTTACCTCAAAGATATATTCGACAAAGAAGGATCCACATTAATCTTACTCATTGTGCTTACAATAAAACGCACATTTTATGTCACTACAGGCTTGCCCTTTAACATATATAATTATATAAACTTTGGGTCTTCAAAACTACCATATTTAAGTAGAGAATCACAATCGACTAGCTGATGTCATCTCGGCTAGAGAGATGCGATGACGACGCTGCTGTGCTCAACGACGCTTAATCTGCAATGTATCACAAAATATCAGAGTGCTGTAACTTATCACAAATGCTAAGAATTCATAGACGAGGTGGAATGGCGAGGTATATAAGAAGATCCAGAATCGAGACACACATGAGTCTTTCTCTTACAGTCTAAAGACCACCATTTCTGGTTCATCCAACATTGTTTAACTTCGATTTAAGAAACTTGATGAGGGGTGGTGCTATATTTTGCAAGTAGTTGGCTGTCTCATCAACCTCTTTGTGATTAGAGGCGTTAAACAATTAATGACAGGCTTGATTCTTTGTGGGATATGCTCGCAGTCCCTGGTGCGACCTCAAAAGGGTTTTTATCGGAGGCAAACTTTTTCGAATTGGCGGACAGCTTATTTTAGTGTCTACACTCGATCACTACGCGCAAGTGAGTAATCCTGATTAAACGTTGTTGGTGTGTTAGTCAGTCCTATTGTCATAATCAGCTACTCCCAGTGGCTTCCGCTCGAAGTAGTTGCCGCACTTAGAGGAAGTCTTTGTCATTTAAAAGCAGCCGATGATAGTCATCAACAATGTTATGAGCATTTAACAATGTGCATCCATCACATGCTGTTCTTCAGCACATACTATCACGAGCAGCGTTTGCGCCGTATTAAGTGATTTTATTTAAGAATTATAGATTTGTGCAATCCGCCACTTCCCCTTAGCCTTTCTAACAAAAAACGTCAGCCTAGAGCGATGTTGGTTTCTCTCACCATACCCGCTTCGCACTTCGCATGGAAAGCGCGCTTACAAGGACATACTACCCCCTTGGTAAGACCATTGACGTGTAACGCAATATTTGGTTCCGAAAATCCGTAATTGATGCAAAGTTATGTTTTTTTAAAACTGCATTCTATTCGAAAAAGGTACTAGCGAAACCGTGCTAATACGAAGGTAGCCGCTTAAATTAAAAAAGTCTCCGAAAAGGACGTACTAATATTGTTTGTTCTCTTTAGATAATTTAAAGCTTCTTCATGGTCGGCCATACTATCGAGCATTTTGATGATGAGCAACAGGAGCTGGAAAAACAGGCGCTGGTGATAGACTCGAGGTTACATAGTAAGTGGTAATACAATAGCGATTTCAGCTGCCCGCGTGTATAATGTGTCGTTTGCGAATGGAGCGCGGTGTGGCGCTCTAAGCGGTACTAAAAGCTTAATCGTTACATGGCTCTAGCAAGCAAAGAATCAGCTGCGTGGACCCTAAATACATCTGTATCCTTCAAGAAATTACGTGCTAGTGAAGCCCAAGTACAACTTTCCTCGAGAAGAATACATGCCATTTGTAACTTACATCAAGCACTGAATGCAGCGGGGCTGCCCTAGCTCTTTGCTTAAATAAAGCTTAACTAAAGTTACTACGAAAAGCACGGGTGTGAATATAAGATAGGGCTGTAAGAAGCGGCTAGGACGACAAAAGCGTGTTGTGTAATTCTTGTCGCTCTTCTTGTGTACAGAACAGGAGCAAAAAAACGCCGAGAAACTCAATCGAGCTCATCCACGTGGTGATGATTTAGAGGCATCTCACATCGGACATTCATGATCGAGAAAATAAGTCTTAAACGGGGTTTATTTTTTATAACCTACGACTGAGCATGTGTCTGTGACTAAAGTACAGACGTCGAAATTCATGTAAACCCATGTTATGTGCTGACCACGGCATCTTGCATTCTGGCCACAGCAGACCTCATTTTCAGGACAACGGAGAGTATTGCAACGGGTTAGCATGTGTTCATATCAGGAATAAACAAATGCGCGGAAATGTCGACGCAATACATCCACCAATACATTTTATACAATATCTTAAGGAGGCGGTACGACTTGAGCCAAAGTGCAGCGAGGCTGATGTAGCTTTTTGCTAACAGGAAGCTAAGCTAAGGCCAAGGATCTTACGTTCTATGGTTGTGTAACGGGGTTACGCATACCCTCGTAAAAGGGGTGTGTGTCACACCAGATGGGCATGGTGTGATCACACCCAAACAAGAATACGGTACGGGGCTGGATAGCCAGTAGTTGTACATATATTTAAATTTTACTATACATATTAAGGAAAAACTATGCATGAAAAATTAGGCGGCTTTGCCGCAGATAAAACTAAAAACGTCAGTTTTTGGATTACAACGGAAGAGTTAATTAGCCTTGGATTAAGGTAGTAATTACATTGGAGTAAGCAGATTGCGATCCGCTAAACTCGTACTTGTTTTAAGTATAAAACGAAAGGTCAGTGACCTAACTTACGCTTCCTCTAAGCGCAAAGCTACGGCAGCCTCGCTGCACTTAGTACCACTTGTAGTCAATCTACACCCTCTTCTCTTCTCTTCTCTTCTCTTCTCTTCTCTTCTCTTCTCTTCTCTTCTCTTCTCTTCTCGACTGATCCTCGGTGAGGATGGAACAATTTTCCTTTTTGCCCCAGGGCATGCAGGACTTAAAAAGCTGATGTCCTTGCTTGGCCCTGAGGGCGTGCAACGCTTTGCTGCGCAAGGCCCCGACGCAATCGGTGCGCGTCTAGAATCACGAAGTTGCGCTGCTAGAGCACCTGCAGCAGAAGATGTCTGCATCATTTGCGTCTATGACGCCACCGTCAGTGACGGATGATATTTCCCGTCCTAAGCCGCTCATGGTGAGTGTTAAGGTCTTCGAGGGGAAGGATGGAGAATATATCCTGCTCTGGTTGAGAGAGGTCGAGATGGCCATCGCGACCTCCATGCTCCAGACCGAGAAACAGCGCGTAGCGCTAGCCAACTCAAAGCGCGGTGGTCGAGCGCGAGAATGGGCAATGGCGTGCGGCACTTCGGTTGAAGCTGCGTTTCCCTCCTGGGCGGAGCTGAAATTGTAGCTCTCACGAGTGTTCTCGCCGCCCAACCAGGCATATCGCGTCCGAGCGCGTATCCTTGCCGCCCGACAGGGCAACAAGAAATTGGTGAACTTTGTCCAAGAGATGCGTACTCTCATTACCGGCATGGCAGCAGATCCCCTC